CCGTGGGACCTATTACAAAAAAGTCATGGCCAGTAATCAGGAAACCGTGATCTCACAAATTTCTACTCCCGCTGAGAATGTCATTTCATTCCCGGGAGGAAGTTCCCAACCGTCAAGCCAGGTTCCTACCCCCATCATCACCATTCCACCACCTATCCCATTCACTTCCCCCGTGAACCCTGTTCCCGTTTTTCCTTCAAATTTCCCCGGACCCCTTGATCCAATGTACAGCCAGGCTCTTTAGAATTTTGGACATTTCATGTCCATGTTCCAGCAGCCGGGAGGGTTTTCACTTTTCAATCCGGGATTGTATCCACAATCCTCGCCTCAAACTAACGTCATTCGCCCGATCGTTCCGACAAACCTCATCGGAGAGATGGATAAAGCTGGTCCATCCCGGTCTAGAAGGAGCCGGTCCCGTAGGTCACAGACAAAGGTGACCTCGGACGGGGATGTGCGTTCAGTGCACAGCAAAGACGAGGATTGGGACGTCCCCCAGGCGATCAAGAAGTTGAAGGAAAAGGCAGTTCAGCCAGAAGGATCTAGGAGGTCGGCCTTTCTAAGACTTGGCCATGATGGCCGAAATCAGAACCGGTCAGCAAAAGAGCGGCTTGGGGTAGAGACCATTCCAGCTAGTGCCTTTAATCGTGCAGGGAGAGGAGCCGGACGACCTGGTCAGACCAGGCGAACGGAGCCATCCCCACGCGATGAGCCCCAGCACAGCCGGGCACCACGAGAGGAAGAAGCCGAAAGCCACCCCAGGCACACGACCCGTTCACATGTTAAGAAACCTCGGGATCGTGTGGGCCGGGTCGAGGCACATCTGGAGAAACTACAACGCCGGGTAGACCGAGAAGAAAAGAAGAAGGTTCTGCTGAACGAATCTCCGTTCACAGACCGGGTTCATGAAACACCATTTCCAAAGAAGGCGAAACTTGAAGTCCCGAAGTTCACCGGGAAGGAGGACCCGGATATTCACATCAAAACCCTCCATCAAAGTGGGCGGATGATGGGTCTTTCCGGGGATGAGAAATGTTTGCTTTTCTTTCAGACCCTCCGCGGCCGAGCCGTCGAGTGGTTTCATAACTTACCGGCTGGTGAAATCGATTCTTTCGATGAACTGGCTGAGGTGTTTCAAGAAAAGTTCAAAGAAAACTGTACCAAGAGGAAAAAGTTTACCTACTTGAGTACAGCCGGGCAGCGAGAGCACGAGGATCTGACAAAATTCCTCACCCGGTGGAAGGATGAGGTTGACAAAGTGGAGGAGATGGACGACAAGACAGCAATGTCCCTCCTTGTATCCGGGCTCCGGTCCGGAGAACTATACAAAGAATTCTGCAGGAGGCCTCCCCAGTCCTATCAAGAGGCCTATAACACGGCCTGGGACTATGCTGACGCAGAAGCCCAGGTGTCATCCAAGAGGGAAGCCGAGCAGGGCCACTCAAAGGGAAAAGTTTCGTTGAAAAAGGAAATTACATTGCCCGGTAAGATAAAAGCAGAAGTCATGGAGGTAAAACCGGTCAAAACAGAGAAGAAACTGACCGGCGAGAAACAATGGACGGAGAAGTATTGCTCCTTTCACAAAACTGATTCCCATAACACTGCAGAGTGTAACAGTGTGAAGGGGGTAATAAAGCAGATGATTGAGGCCGGTGAGATTGATCCTGAATATCTGGCCCAGGCTAAGCAAAAGAAGAACCAATGGGTCAGACCAGAAGGACAACCGGCCGAGCAGAATAAAAAGAAGAAAACCGCCGGTAAAGAGCATTTACAGGTCATCTACGGTGGACCGGAAGGGGGAGATTCTGCTTCCCAAAGGAAGAAGTGGGGGCGAGAACTCTACGTGGGGACGGTAGCCCTCAATCCCCGGTCAAAACAAGCAAGACGGGAACCGATCACTTTTACTGACCGGGACCTCCCCGCCACCGGAGAAGATCACAATGACCCCCTGGTTATAACTATGGACATGGGTGGAGTCGATGTCTCCCGGGTACTCGTTGACACGGGAAGTAGTGTCAACGTTTTGTACTTGGATGCATTTGAAAAGCTCAAGTTGTGTCGGACACGGCTTGAGCCCTTAAAGACTCCCCTGTCCGGGTTCACCGGGGACTCTGTTGAAGCTGAAGG